TGGCACCTAATACAGGAAAACAACAATCACACATCTCATTACTACCTACTAATCCTCCCACAACATAAAATCATGCTACCAACTAACCCTGACAAAATGTGTAACTATAAGTAACAAGAGGTGAGATAGCCACCCGAACAAATGCTCTCAATACATGATGTTTCTGTTGTGAGGCAACATCTTTCCTTTTTCTAGTAAATTCTATATGTGAAGTAACTATATCTATAATCTATACGAGCCTAGGGAATGAAATTAGAAATTTAGGGTTCCGATTGATCTATTTCGTGGTGGCCACGGCGAGGCCAACCATGACTATCATGGCGATAGCTATTCCGACATTAGATTGGGAGCCAGAGCCACCACTAGCACCAACACCACCACCGGTAATCCAGAAAATCGCACCAGAACCTCCATCGCTTTTTCCAACGGCACCTTCAACAAAATCATAACTTGTCCGACGACCATCACCATTGGAGAAGACATCGAACATCAATGATAAAAGCAACGCCAACATGAATGAAATTAGATTATTAACCTTGTTCCTTCTCCTCCTCGTTGTTTTCCCCAATTTCCTCCACACCATAACCTCCGATCAAAAAACCCTAGCTTACGTTGTGCAGACTTGCATAGTCGGTGTGGCTTGGAGATAGTGGAGGTGGGTGAGGGGCGGAGACGAAGGAGATGAGATGTTAAAGAACAGATCGATACGAATGTAGGAGAAAAATGGGGGTTCAAAATTTTTGGGGATTTCATTTTCCCTCTTAGAAGAGAGACGCGCGTTCCTTAAAAAAATATAAAGCGACATTCACAGAGGGCGCACATTTTAGATAAAGTGCCCTCCGTGTTTTTAATTTTTTACATGAAACACTAATTTAAGGGCACACAATATAGCGTGACCTAAATCCTAATTTTTTTTTGAAGAGATGACACTTTTTTAATGTCACACTTTGCGTAACATAAATCAACGAGTGTCGTGGTTTGCGCGTCGTAAAATGGTCTTTTTCATGTAGTGTAGGCTTATTAGTGTTTAATAAGCTAGACACCACCCCGGGCGGTGGTACTCAACGGTGGTTCATGGCGGTAACCACCACCTCATGGTGGTGGTGGTTATGATTTTAGGCAAAAACAATGGCAAAAGCATTCCAAACATCAGTCCAATAACATACATAAACACACAGCCACTAGAGATGGTGGCTAGTAGCGGTAGAACGGTGGCATCCACCACCTCACGATGGTGATGGGGTTTTCCTTGATTTTCCGGCCAAAGATTTCTCATACAACATCACACCATAATAGACACACATATTTACACCATAAAACACACACACGCATCCAACTTCTACGGTGGCTGGTGGCGCCAGGAGATGGAAGCAGGCGGCAACTACCATGGTTGGCGGCCATGGTGGTTCTTTTTGATTATCCGACCAACCAACACACACACACACATACCACTCACGTGAAAAAAGAACTCAGAATCCTCCTTCGAGGTGCCAGACAACCACCAAAGGAATGACAAAAGGGACAGCCGCTCTCAGAGCGGTGGCGGCGACGCTAACAATCGACACTACGGTGGCGTAGTAGAAAACGAATTGGAGAAGAGAGATGCTTCGCGATAATAGCAACTACATTCCACGATTTCCGACTCTTTTGACTTCCCCAGCGGTCACGACGTCCTCTCTTGTCGGTCCTCGCTCTTCGCCGACAACAGATGCATCAATTGTGGTGGTTCGACGAATGGGATGGCGGCAGCTGGAGATGGGAGAAATAAGGGTGCCGACTGACCTAACAAGAATAGGTTTATGGTTTTCAGCGAGTATGCAACGAGGGGAAGGGTGGGTTGACGGGTTTAAGCCCCATCTCGACTTAAACTTCATTCCAGTCGAAGCTTCTAGTCCCTGCATCCAAAAACGTTATCAAATTAAATCCCTAATTTACCCTATAGCCCCTTGCTTCCAAAAATCATTTCAATCCAAGTCCATATGTTTCAATTTAACCTTAAACATCCAAAAAAAATTAACTTTTAACACCCCTAAGGTGTACACCCCGCGAATTAATACGACTTAGGCTAAAATAAAATGTAAAATACATCTAAGAGTTTTAAGGCTATTTATTTATTTATTTTATTTATCTATTTTATTACTTTCTTATTTAATTTATTTATTTACTTATTTTCAACGGAATGTCACACTTGCGGTAAAATGGTAAAATGACCATTTTACCCCTAGCCTACCTTGAACCAAAACCGAGGCCCAAATCCATAAACCCAAAAGGCCCAAAACCAATAGATCCACTAAGGGGTCGTTTGATAGTTGCTGACTGAGAAAGTGCTGATTGAGAAAGGTTTGTCTGAGTAATAAGTTCTGACCGAGTAAGAAACTATGCTGTTTGATTATACATTTGACTGAATGTGCTGACTGATGCAAAATGACCATTTTACCCTGATGGTCTTTATAATAATAATAATAATAATAATAATAATAATAATAATAATAATAATAATAATAATAATAATAATAATAATAATAATAAAAATAATAATAATGTATACAAAAACTTCCAGCATAATAGACATTAAATATAGTATTTTAGAGATTAAAACACAAAAAACTCTTTAACTTGTTGGTAAACATCATTATATGTATGGGGGAGACCCGAGTTCAATTCTTGTCCCATTTTACTTGTTTTTATCCAAAGCCAAGGGTATTATTGTAAAGTCTTGCTTTCTTTCTCAGTCAGCCTCCTGCCAACTCCTTTTTCTCAATCAAACATTTCTTACCGAGTCAAATGGATAAAGTTGGACAATCAAACACATTTTGCTGACCGAGCCAGCCAAAAACGTCTGACTTGACTCGGTCAGACGTATATCAAACGGGGCCTAAGACTCACTAATTGGCCAATTTTCCAAATTAGGCCCAACCCCTATATCGGCCTTACCCTAAATTCCAATAATTTCCTTAGCCCAAAACCTTGATTTCAGATGGCCCAAAAAGGCCCAAACCAACAAAGTCCAAAGAAGTGGTGCAATCTGAGGCCAGAAAATGCGAAGCCAAAACTAACTGGGTATGTAGGGCGTACTCAGTTGTACGCTAAGCGTCCTCATTGCATGGCTTGTACGCTCAACGTACTCCTCCATTAAGCCATTTCTTCCATTAAGCTCTTAATGCTCAAGTCTAATGGTCCAAAACATAGATCTGAGTCCCAAAGAGTATCTAGAACCATAAAGTCACTAACTTGGTGACTTTGCATGCCCCAAAAGATCCCAAATTTGATTTATAACATTCTACTTTCAATATAACAGCCATAACTCATGCATGGATGGTTCTAAGCTTCAAAGATGACAACTTTATGACTCTATGATGAAAAGAACACCAAGAGTAGCAACTCTAAGCTTCAGAAATGATAATAATCCACAAGATCTCATTTATGGGACCAAAATGGGTCCAAAACTCAGACATAGGAGATTTAAGCTATAACACAACAAGTTTAGAGCTTTATACCTCAAATGAATGCCAAAAGATAATGCTAACCCGGATCTACAAGCTCCCACTCTTACAATGAAGCTCCAAGATGATCTCCTTCATCCAAAACACTAAAAATGCACCTAAAAGACCTTCTAAGCTCAAGAACATTCAACTATAGAGTTAGGGTTTCGAGTAAAGGGCTGGGAGGGCAAGGAGGTTGAATAATGAGGGTTTCAAGTCCATAAGGATGATTATATAGTGGCCAACCCCGAAAATTAAGGTTTTCAAAATCCTTACGTACGCCCCACGTATGTTTTTGTACACCCAACGTACACCTCTGGATCCACGATCAAACCCTCGCACGGGTACGATAAGCGTGCTACTTGGTACACCCCGCGTACTTGCTTTACAGCTTGTACGGTAAGCGTACGTTGTGGTATGACCTGCATAAAACTCAAGGACCAAATTTGACAATTTAAATAATGCAAAGGCAAAAGAGAAACTTACCAAGATTCACGTCTTACATATTTTTTATTGTCATGGATCATTCATTTACAAATACATTTTATTAAAATTTTGATGGCTTTAAAGACGATTTGATTTAACACATATAGAAAAAAATTGGACGGTTACAAATAATATATATTTTTTAGCTTCTAAATCTATAATTTTATATATTATGTTATATCCGTAACTTCATTTATCATTTTTCTTTTAAGTATATTTGATGAATGATATCTGTTTTTTAATACTTTTTTATCTTAAATAAATAAATTAGTTGTTATGATTTTATTTTAGTATTTTTAATAATTTTAATTTGAATAGAAAATAACTAAAAGTTATATTTATTTAATTGCAATTTTGGATTTAATTGGATTATAGAAGATAAAAAAAAATAATTTTTTAATAAATGTGTGTGTTGAGGTCAATCGTAAATAGTATATATATATATATATATATATATATATATATATATATATATATATATATATATATATATATATATATTTCAAATGAGAACCATTTTTAAAGTGAGAACATGAGCATAAATCTCAGCCAATCAATTTATATAATTAATTAAATATAAAAATTATAATATTTTACATTAATAAAGGCAATGTTTGATTGTTTAATCAACATTAAAGAATATATCAATCAAACTCCTATAATTAAGGAACGTTTTATATTATATCTATCAAACATTTATGAATTCTTCAATCATCAATCGTCTGTATCAATCGTGTGTGCCAGCCCTCAATATTATCCGACGAGTGCTCGGAGATCTCAGCCGATATACAGTTTGATCTTGTACACGCGTTCCGGATCATGGACACCGACGGCGACGGAAGGATAACAAGAGCGGATTTGGAGGCTCTGTTGTTCTGAAAGGTGTCCATAAGATTCCATTAATGGATTTGTCATTCTGTAACGAGTTGGATGATATAAACGCAATCAATGAAGAGGACGAAATCAATTACGATCAAACTGCATCACTCGAGGATGATTTTTTGTCTAGTGATGATGAATTTTGTTTGACTGATGATGATAATACCGCATTTGGGAAAGTCGACATCGTGGCTGAACACAATTAATGGGATTTCACATTTCTTGAATATATTGATCAATCCATTCAAGTTCCTGGTATGTTTGTTTTTTTGTTTTCTTTAAGTTTGTTAAAAAAATGTGTCGATTACATTACAAAATTTTGTATATTGTTAGAATACTATCAAAAAATTGACATTCAGTATCATATACTATCTATTTAAGTTAATTTGATTTGTTGATTTGTTGATTTGTTATTTGTATTATGTTATTAACTTGTCATGGTTATTAGATGTTACAGACATTTATGAACACTTGGTAATAGCTGGTAAATTGTATTGGATTCCTTATGTCTCTAATGATCTCAAGGCAATAATAAACCATAACTACCCATCTGATGATGCAATTGAAGACATGTACAGAAGATATGCATGTGCAGCAGGTTTTGATGTTAGAAAGTCAACAAACAAAAAAAAGCATGGTATGGTGTACATGAAATATCTGTTATGTAACAGGGAAGGTTTCCCAAATACATCTCCTGTTGATACTTTGGACCCAAAAACAAGTAAAATTAAGAGAAGGGTTGACACTAGCAGGACCGGATGCAAGGCACGTATACATTTTAAAATTTTTCCTGGAACTACCAAATGGTTGTTATATGAATTTGAAGAAAAACACAATCATCCACTTATACCAAGGGACCATATGTTGTTTTCACGTCATCATAGGCAGCTGGATGACACTCAAAAATCTTTCATTCTTACAATGTCTACTCAGAATATTGGTGCAACCATAGCTCACAGGCTGTATACAAGTATTCTTGGTGGATACAATTTTGTAGGCAGTCTAATTGATGACTTCAAAAATTACATGAGGGATCTCAATTGCTTTATAGGTGGTAAGATGCTAGTGGACAAGCTGAATAACAGAAAAGAAAATGTTGAGAATTTTTCTTTTGACTATCGAGTTGAGAATAAGCAGTTGAATGCTCTTTTTTGGGCAGATGAAACATCCAAGATAAATTATAAAGAGTTTGGTGATGTAGTTTCTTTCGATGCTACTTTCCGAACTAACAGGTTGTAAATGATTGTAGTTTATTATATTTATACTTATTAATAATATACATATTAATTCAAATACTTTACAGGTACCATATGGTTTTTGTCCCATTTACTGGAATTGATAATCACAAGAGGTGTGTCACTTTTGGTGTTGGCTTGTTGAGTAGAGAAGACACTGATTCCTATATATGGTCGTTGAAATCTTTTCTTAAAGCTTTTGGCAAACAACCATTGTTGGTTTTATCCGACCAATACCTTGCAATGCAGGAAGCCATTGAAACTGTTTTCCCTCAATCGATTCATAGGCTTTGCATGTGGCATATCACATCTAAATTGCCATTGAAGGTATTCATTATTGTCTATGTAATACAATTTTACCAATAAAACAATCATTTTTTTGGTGTATTCAAATCAGAATGTTTTTGTTTTTATAGTTGATTACATATATTACATTTACAATTTCACAGGTTTCTTTGAACATTGTCAACAATCCAGAATTTCGTAAAAAGTTCAACTTCTTGATATGGAATTCTAGGCTTGAAGTTGATGACTTTGAGGTAGGGTGGAAGTAATTATTAAATGAATATAATCTCACGGATAATAAATGGTTGGATGATATGCATGGATTGAGAGATTTCTAGATACCTGCATTTTTCAAGCATGTACCTTTATCAGGATTAATGCGAACCACATCTAGTTCTGAAAGTGAGAATTCAACATTTCACCAGAACACGCATTGTGGTTCTATGCTTGTCCATTTCATGATTTCATTTGAAGCTGCTATGGAGAAGCAAAGATTCACTCAGTCATCTTTTGACTTCAAAACTAACGACAAACATCCTATAATGAGGACACCATTTGAGATCGAGAGGAATGCCTCTATGTTTTACACTCGCACTGTCTTTCGTCAAGTTCAAAATGAAATGTACTTGTCTATGGTTTCATGTACTCAAATTTCGATCAACACATTCGACGATGTTGATGAGTGTCTTGTCAAAGAATTTATTCATTACATTCCTTCTAATGCAAATGCTTATCAGCTTGATCCAGAAGTTCAAAATGATGATCAATGGGATATACCTATACGTGAGTCTACTTACAAGGTTATTGCTATTGAAACTTGTACTCTTACTCTTTTAAGTTTCATATATATATATATATATATATATATATATATATATATATATATATATATATATATATTTAATAAATATTATTCACTTTATTCAATACAGGTCACACACAATAAGTCTGCACAAACATTTACATGTCCTTGTATGAAGTTTGAGCAATTTCTTTTTTTGTGTCGCCACATTTTTACCGTAATGAAGACATATAACATCAAAGAGATTCCTTCCAAATATTTACTCAGACGCTGGTAGAAGGACATCATCCGCACAGAACTATTGAAAAAGTGTTTTCGTTATGCTGATTCTGACGAGAATACCCAAAAAGTTGCACTTGATATATTTTTTTACTGTTGATATGTTGATAACTGTGTATCTTCTCTCAGCAATAATCACATCAAATTGAAAGAATACTTGGAAGAAATAAAGCAGCTTGAAGCAAAGTTCCTTTCCAATTTCACAATTCATGATAAAGGAAACAAGAATAAAGAGTTCGAAAAAACACTTGGTGTTACCATTCCCACTAGTGTGGATATTCAAAATCCTGTAGAAATTCGCAACAAAGGAAGTGGTACTAAAAAAAGAATGAAAAGTTCGAGAGAGGTGACAACAGAAAAATCAAAGGGTTCCAGATGCGGTTATTGTCGCAATGGCAACGATCATGATTGGCGAAATTGCCCTGTAAGAAAAGAAGATGAGAAGAACAACATTGTCAAAGAACGTCCTGGAAAGAAGAATTAATTTTATTTAGCATTTGTTTTTAGTTTTTTTTAATTGCGCGTTCATGTTCTAAACTTGAATTTTTTTTATTCACATCTGCTTGTTTTAGATTTGTCATATTCATATCACAGACATGTTTGAATACTAATAAGAACTTTGTTTGTCGTTTATATTGTTTTGCATTTATCTATATATGTTATTTTTATCTTAGTCTATTATAAGTTTTTATGTACAAATGTATTCATCATTGAATGATATTAGCATTCATACTATTACAGAACACTCAATAGATGATGTGTTGTTTCCAAAACTTAAAAAAATATTAAGTTTTTCCAAACAAATGTTTTGTTGCATACATAAAAACATGTTGTATTATGCAAAACCCCTTGAAAAGAGCATCCTCACAATGTCATTCATTTATAATACTACATACATTATCAAGTACAGACAATTTCATCACTTAATGTACATATCTTGTACTGTATACATGTTCATTGTGGTTTCAAAAAAACTATAACACATTACATTTACATATAAGTGTCAACAAAAATTGTACATATATTGCCAATTGCAAATTTATAATGATTTGGTTGTTCTACTTACAGCTTTGGATTACATATACTTTCTTGAATTTACAGATTTGGATTATACAACATTCAAATCACATTCCACGACATGTCCATCAAAGTAAAAACTCTAAAAAAAATTTGATGAAAATCGAATGCAGTTTTACCTTAGACTAAATCATTTCAGACACATTGATCAAACAGTCAACACATAGTCAACATAATAATCCATACATAACTAGTAGTAATAAGGGTTCAAACCACAACCAACATAATAACTTTAGACACACAACAAAAACAGATCCATACTACAATAACCCTAAACAAAAACCTACCATCCCACCAAATAAAATAGTTTGTCATAACAATACTAACCAACAAGCCAGACCCAAAAAAACAAGCAGCTTCCCCATCAGCTTTTAACCAATTGCTTCATCAAAGACTACTTTTAGATTCTCCTGAACTATTCTCTTCCTTGTCGCCTTATCCATTTTAACAAACTTTGCATACTCCTTTTCAAAATCACACTTCAAAATATTATGATCAGACAACAGCAACCTCACCAAATACTTGTACCTTAACTTCTGTAAATACATATCTTGTGTTTTTAAATCCACAACTAGCCCACAATCCCACTTTGATGTTTGATCCCCCATAAAACTCTCCATATATCGCATAAGATAGATTCCACCATCATCTGAACGGTTGTATGTTTGACACTTCATTTTCAACACCACCACGTTCCTTGTCATCAGGGTCTTCACCCTCTTCTTACAGACATCATTTAGAAAATGACAGAAAATTTTTTGCTGGTAAAAAAACATTACACACAATCATTAATTATGTAACACAAATTGTACTAACAATTTACATAATCATATAAACATATATTAAGACTAATGATCTTATTTTCATACTTACCAACACACGGGGTATGTTCCCATACACCGACTCAACTGTCCCCACCAATCTCCTTTGATCAATTATCAAAAGTGAAAAACTTTTAAGGTTAAAACATATGAGGTAGTAATTCCCATCAACAATGGGGAAGAAAACCTACAACATATTAGTCAACATATAACACTTAATAAAAAAAATGTAATATCACATTTTAATCATCATATTTCTATTACCAAATCCACGTTTTTTTAGCTCAGAATCAGTTGTAAGATCTTCAATTGCTGAGGAGACCATAACTTCAAACTCCTTGTATCTCACATCTTCATTTACCCTCTCGTCATACATTGATTCAGGTTGGGCATTACAATTAAACAACACAATAAGTAACATTAAATGTTTAAAAAACTGTTATTATATTTTTAAAAATAAAGCATACCAGTGTGCCTGTGGTAAAAAAAAGTGTAGAGTATGACGACTCTGCCTTACTCTCTTCCAATTTGTTTAGTACAACACTCCAATAGTCGATTACATTTGAATGAATATTCACTTTTGCTGCAAGAGTTCTAGCATATTGTAGATGCATTCCATACCCTTCTTTTGATTCCCATACGAGCTCCCTGCATTTTTCATGGTTGTATAAATCAGATATTTTACACAACATTAATCATAAAAAAAAAGTATGCAACTACACCTTTTATCCATTCCTAATCCAATAATGGCTTGTGCAACTAGTATTTCTTTTTTCTCAACTGAATCTTTCAAGTCCACAACTCTTTGTACAAAAGGTGACTTCAATGTAGGCCCATGCTTCATTTTCTTTTTTTCTCTCATTTTAATCCCTACTACAGCTTCAACATTTCTCTTTGTCCTTTTAAGACCTTCCTGTTCAACAATTGCATCATCTTTACCTTCATTCCCTTTCATAGTATTCATCTCATCTGCGCATTGATTAAGTTTAGCTTCAAACGATGGACAATCATTATTTAACATACTACTCTTTTTAGAGCTGTTCCTTTCTATTTCATCAGCTTGCTTTATCCAACCAGGTGTTAATATACAAGGAGAATCAAAAGTAGAATTCCCATTGTACATTACAACTTCCATTCCTATATTTTGTTGCTGTGTACCACCATGATGCTCAAACAGAACCTTATCATTGCACATACTAGTTGGCTTCACAATTATCGGGGACATTTCTTCCATTCCATGATATGAGGCATCCATATTTGATTCAGAATTAACTTTTCGTCCACTAAGTAAATCGTCCCCCATCTTATTTGCCAACTTAGTAATCATTTGGTTCATATCCTTATTTGTTTGTCCTCCTTTTGTTGCCTTCACATTCGTACCATCAACCTCCATTCTATCTTCACGCCCTTCAGCAATTAAGGCTTTTAGTGTTGTTCCATTAAAGATGTCAACAACCTTCTTAATCACTGCCTTCACTTTATCATTATTCGGATGCATTTCCATATACATCAAACTACTCGCCTCTACAACCTGCTTCTGCTCAACCAACCTTCCTACCATACTCTCAATAATCCCACAACTCTCCTACAATAAAATTAAATGAAATGTTATTTTAACAATCTAATATTTTTTTATACTATACAATTAACAATCCATAAAATAAATTAATTACTATACATATTATATTTATTATACGGTAATTTTACCTCAACTGATCTATCTTTTGAATTATCTTGATTCATCATCTCATCATAAAACACACCATCCACATTTTCCCTTAAAGTTAGATTTCCAAATACACCCCTGCTTACTTCATATTCTTCTAACACTCTAAGGTGCTCCGAATCAGTTTCTGTGATGAAGGGCCTATGCCTACACAAATTGACATCTTCACATATCACTCTGTCTGCATACGCCATCTGCACAATTACATTCAATAATTTTTTCATTAGAAATAATTTTTAATGATAAAAAAATTAAAAGATTAAATTAATATTCAATATCATACCATTAGAAGCGCTACAGGTCCTGTGAAGTAGCAGTTTTTGTCATTTGGCCTCCATTTATTCTTGCTTTTTCCTTAACATTCCACTATGTACTCACACCAGTTAATCCTTGATACATCTTTGCATTGAATTAACTTTTCAATAAAATTAATTCTACAAGACCCCATTGTCTCTGTTTCAGCAAAAGTGTTAATGAATAACGTCAAGAAATTCAGCTTAAACAACTAATCCACAATATTTGTTTTCCTTATATTCTTCAAATAGTTCCCATTATAATAATTTCCCTTCCCATATTGTCCTTTCCAAGCTTCAAGCAAAGGATCATTCATATCACATTCATCCAGTGTGTTAGAATCCAAACCCTTATTCGGAAGTCCAAACATAGCTTCCACTGTCTCGTTTGTTATGGCCACTTCACCACTTCTAACCCTTATGGAACAAGAACTTGTTGTGAAGCTATCCACAACAAAATATGCTAGCTTTCCAGGTAGTGTATCAATCTTCATTCCCAGAAAGATCCAAAACCCATATCACGTACCATTTCTCTCTGGCTCTTTGACAAAATTTTCATGGCTAGATACAAAGAATTTGGAGACATACGAGTACTTAACCTTTGAAATTTAGTTCCTACCTTACCTTCTTTACATTTTCCTTCAGCTCCAATTACTTTTTTCCCTTTCACCTTACCCTTTTTATCATTAACACTCTTGTCAACTCTTTTCCTTTTCATTTTCCTTTCATTCTTTCCAGAACTCACCTCCTTTTTCTTCTCAACAAAATCATCATCACTTGCGTCATTCTTATATGATTTTCCATTGCTTCTCTTTTTGGGTAATTCTAGTTCCCCCCCCCCCCCCCCCCACCAGGTACCACTTTCTTCCCTGCACTTCTCACACATTTATTCCCTTCAATTACACGGATGCTTGATGACCCTGAACATTTTAATTAAAAAATTATCATTCTTACATTTTACACATTGTATTTACATTATTTATCCAAGAACTAATGTACATAAAAAAAAAACATTATCTCACATATTGACAAATTAATACAAATTCATAACTGATCAATGACTACAAGCCGTTTTTAACCAATATTCACACACGAATACATACTCACGTACCAAAAAACTATTCCATCATACAATGTACTCACAAAAGACTACATACTCACTTCCTTTAAAAATACACCTACACTACCAGATTACTCATTCACATCCACATTCATTGCAGATTCCTCATTAAAGTAAGCAATTACAAACTCTTGGCATAGAAATAATCCCACAAACCTTGATTAAGATTCATTACAAAAATCTCATTCATTGCTGCAACATATTCTCTATTGCATACTCATTCATATTCATTATTGATTACACATCCAATTATGAACTACATAATCACACATCCACATTCTAAACAGATTACCAAATTCACTACCACACATATGCAGATTCAATACAGAATTCACATTCAACTCCACACACATTAACTATTGCATAGTAATTCGTATTCAGTATTGCTTAAACATTCAATTATTAACCACATAATCACACATCCATATTCTAACCAGATTAACAAATTCACTACCATACATATTCAGTTTCACCAACCTCAACAAAGAATATCACCTTATACATAACATATTCATAAATGCATCTACGTCTTATCTATTGTAATTTTCCTACCCAACATTATGCAACTAAAAGCAATACACATTTCACTTTTAATCATCGAACAAATTCAGAAAATTGAACCAATTGACTGTTTACAAATAACATTTAAGACGATACTAACTCTATTTTTCAAAGATCAAACAAAATAAAGTTCAAAGTTTAATCAAACAACTCGATAACTTAGTTATCAATCCCATTTAAATAGGCATTCCTTCAAAACAAAATTGTACCTCATATCACATCCACGGACAAAATTGTTATTCAAGCAAACCAAACATACGATCAAATCACACTCACTACCAACTAACATTTACACAAAAAAACTTCGATTATACCGACAAACAGACAAAACATCATCGATCCTCAGAAAACCCTAAAACAAAACCCTAATTCCTATCATAGATCAAAAACCAAAAAACTAAATCTTTATGTTACCTGATTCAATGTACAAGACTTCTTGTTCTTCAACATCGATCGCAGTGTTAGCCGTATTACTAAACTTTGACTAGAATCCTCCTTCCATCATTCTTGGACTCCTTCTCAAGCTCTGTGATATCGTCCACCTCATTTCGCTTCAATTTTATAACATAAAACGATTCACATAATATCTTGGAACTTTTTTGAAGATTCTATCAAGATCGTATCACCCAAATGGAAACGATTTTGTTGGATTTTTCCTCCGAGGGTTTATCGGGAACCGTTCGCAATATCACACTTTTTCCTTATTTAACAATATCATCTGTTACATCAATCTCATTAAATACATACATATCACCGTAGAATATTACCCGTATTAAGAAATCACGTTAGAATACATATAAATTAGGAATATTCAATCTTAACCCTTAAATACACCAAATCTAATAGCTAAAATACTCCTCATGTTCTCACAATAAAACCTATTCTCAATTGAAACAGAACTCATAACAGGTTTCGTTTAAAGTCTAAAATAAGACGCCCTACAGAAGCATACGACGAACCTCCCTCTGCCACCGCCGCTATGCTTTTCTCTCTCATTTCTTTAACTTCTGTTCTAACCTTGTTATCCTTCATCAATCGTCTTACCCCATTTTCAATCTCCTCCGCAGTGACCACGACTTTATTAGCCTTCTGATTACAAAAATCCTTATGATCCAACTTAATCTCCAGTGCCAAACCAAGCTCCACCACCATTTCAAACGCATTAATCTGTTGCTCAGCGTCAATTGGCCATGCAGCCGATGGTACACCAAACCACAAACTCTCCAACAACGAGTTCCACCCGCAGTGAGACACAAACCCTCCGACTGCACCATGAGCCAGCACATCCACCTGAGGGACCCACCCCGTTACTTTTCCGATTTTGGCAGTCCGTTCCAAGAATCCTTCGGGCAATACTGTTCCTAGGTCCTCGTAATCACTCGGCGCTCTTGTTCTCTTATCTTTTGGAGGTCGACGCAGGGACCATAGGAAACGGTGGCCACTCCGCTCTAACCCGTTTGCTATTTCCTTCACTTGTACCTCGTCAAAACTTCCCGTACTCCCAAAACACAGGAACACCACCGAGGAAAGCGGTTGACTGTCTAACCAGGTGATGATTTCATCATTACCCGACGCTTTTAGGGAACAGCCTTCTAGGTTTAGTATCGGGCCCACCGGATACACCATCGGAATGGTGAAGTCTTCCGAGAATGACTTGATAGCGTGTGTTTCCAATTCAAAGAATGTATTGACAATGATCGCTTTCGCCTTTCTCAGTCTACGGGCAGACCCCAGAACAAAGTCCAGCCCCTCTAGAGTCTGGAAGACGCTTGGAAAAACCTTTGTGGGCACTGGCTTGACAAAACTCGGAACGTGAATCGTGGAATCCGAGTTGCTTAACACGACAATATCTTGGTTTTCATAATCATAGAGTGTCTGGATGTACAACTTAAATCTAAGAAACCCAGCATTAGAAGTGAAGAACACATATGTCGGAATATTAAACTCGTTTGCCACATCTATCATCCCGGTGCAGAACATGTCGACGACGAACCCGGCGACACGAGCCGAACCCGGTTGACTCATCTTGTTGGCGACAATTTTTCTTACGTATTTGCAGTGATTGTTGATACAATTAGTCAAGGCAGCCATGGGAACGTTTGAGACTGGTGGGGTTTTGTCTTGAGGGAGATCGATGAAGGAGATACGATCCATTTTGGTCTTTGCTAATGATTGGATGTACGTGGTGACGGCGGAGCAGGAGCCGAAGGTGGGAGGCGGGTTAATGAGGAGGACAGTAATGGAGAGGTGGTGGTCGCGTGTCACGAGTAGTTTTGCGATCTGGATGGTGGACATGATGTGACCAACCCCTGGTGCAGGGATGAAGACGAGCTCCGTAATTAGATTCTCCATTTCTGTTTTTTTCTTAAATGATTTGTTTGAAGTTTTATCTACGATATGCTAGTTCGGGGGGATTTTAAAGGCATCTTATAATTCCTTTTTTGCACCAACAGCTGGCTTTTAAATGTAGCGGACAGGCAAACTTTCTATCAAATCGTGAAAACACAGAACATCATCGTGAAAACACAGAACATCATCGTGAAAACACAGAACATCATGTGGGAAAAGTTGTTACTAGTAGTATGAAAAATGTTTATTTTTTATTTAAAAGTGTAGGTATATCATAGTATCGTACTAAAAACAGTTTAAATGAAAAGAATATGTTTTCATTTGACTATTTCCTAAAAGTAAATAGCTCAAAATACCAAAGATAAACAATTCAAAACATATATTTTAGGGTTTATTGACTTCAATGATGAGTCTCTAAAAGCATATTATATTTAAAAAAATAGGAGCCATCTTATGAATGATATTCTGATCTTATAATCCGACTGTACAAAAATAATAATATTCTTAAATCATAAAATATTAAAAATATTTTTGAATATATTTTTTGATCATAACTTTAAAAACTTTTTATAAAATAATAAATTCTTCAACCATCAATCGAAGAATATATAAAAATAAAAATTATATTAATTTTTATAGAATACAGGTAATAATTGTTAACAATTACATTTATTTTTAAGAATAAAACTAAAAAGCACTTTCAAATCGGGAAAAAAATCAAAATCTAACAAAGACATAAATACATTCTAAAAGAATAATGTTGTTAATAATCACTTACAATTTTATAGTCGGTTCTTCAAGTATCAACTTCTGTGAAAAATAAATCCAAATTGTAGTTTAGAATCCAATAATGCATTAGCAAATGAAAAATAAAAAACTAAATTCCTTTGCAAAAATATACAGACTTGTGTATTGCTCCAAAACCAATAACCAATAATTCTAGAACATGCATAAATCAATGAGAAAATATCTATATTTCATTGCAACATAATTGAAATTTGTGATTCTATTCCAACAGAATTGAAACTTAAGATTCAATTACTGTATGCATGCTATTGGAAAAATATCCACATTTCCCAATGATATAAAATGAACAAAAAAAACACCACGTGCATGAATACAATGATTAAGACCACCAATTCACACACCATAGGTTCAAGACTTCATAAAATCAAAATGAAGACTTCATTAAATCAAAATCCGAATTCCATAAACCGAGAAATAAATCACAAAAATTATAAAATATGATATATCTTTCGTGCAAAAAGAAAGAAATCACAATAATTATCATATTCTACAACCGGTAATCACCATACACCGATAAAATATGAGGAGCTGTACGATCACGCCTTTGCCTTCCTGCGATCATCTAATGTACCTGAAACAATAAACTGAAACTGTAAGGCCGAGAGCTTAGTGAGTTACCCCCAAAATACCGACCTCAAATAACCATAATCATATCATATCATATCAACAAATACAGGACAACATGCATAATGAGTCATCAACCTGACTGGACTGCCTCACAGGCCTTCAGTCTATTGGATTGCTCTCCGAGCCTTCAGCATAACTGGACCACCTCGTAGGGCCTACAGCCTATTCGGACCGCTCGTTGGGTATGTTGGCCTGCAGCACAAAGCAGGACGGCCTCAACCCAACCCAACCACATATGTCGACATACATACAACACATAATCGAACAATAACACAGATCATACCGAATGCTAAGCATAGCATCATCCTATCTACCAGGATATCGATCTAATAGATCAGGATATCATAATAACACCCTAACTACTAGGGTACAGATCTAACAGATCATAAATGCATAGCAACACCCTAACTACCAGGGTACAGATCTAACAGATCATAACAACATAACAACACCCTAACTACCAGGGTACAAATCTAACAGATCATAACAGCATAGTAACACCCTAACTACCAGGGTACAGATCTAATAGATCATAACAACATAGTAACACCCTAACTACCAGGGTACAGATCTAATAGATCATAACAACATAACATACGAAATCCAGGATATCATCCAAAGGGACCGACCCAATGTCGTAGACCCTGTCAGTATATTGAGGAGAACTCACCTGACACTGCTGAAGTCCCGCGAATAAAACTCCCGATGCTGGTTGACAGATTCCCTAATTGTCAACGTCAAACAATACCCAATTAATAATTGGGTTCCAAGCCCAAGATCCAACACACACACCAAAAGTCCAATAGTCAAGTAATGGGCCAAAGCCCAACATATGGCCTAATTTTCCAAATTGAGCCTAGACCTCTACATGGTCTTCCCTTAAGGACCATCCAAATATTACAAACCAATTCCCATGGCCCAATATCACATACTCATGAAGGCCCAACTATGACCTAATGTCACATACCATTCGGAATGTGACCTTTGCAGATGTAGTCATCATTGTCCCACTTCTGTCTCTTTCTTGTCTCTTCAGGCGTCTCAACAACACCTTCCTCAAGCTCTGCTGGTCTTGGAGTAGTCAGCACGTATGCTGCTTTCAGAGTGGTCAGCATGAAGTGCATCTTTTTCTTCCAGCGCCTAAAATTGACACCTTCAAACTTCTCCAACTTGGCAAACTTAGTGGTCATCTCGCGGATTGACTCACCCATCTCCAGAAACAGAAGATATCAGTTCGAATGTTAGGAAAATTAGGGTTTGCGGTGGAGATCTGGATACCAGCTTGGATCATGATATCACTTTCCGAAGTGATATTTCTACCCTATGCTTGGGTTACAAGAAATCCAATCTAGGATAATCTAAGCGGACACCTACGTTTCTAGGCATAAAAAACGTAAGATATTATGCTAAAGGGTTTTGTGAACGTGTGATAAAAAAAACGAGAGCTAAAGAACAAACGTCTTCTAGAAATGAAGAGTTGTTTATATACTAAACACGATTAGGATTTCATTAGGGTTGGGCTCTGCTTCTCGACCCCGCCCGCTGACCTGGCAGTGGGACCCCAGCCAGGGGCTCTGCCCCTTAAATCCCGCTAGGGGCGCTACCCCTTTGGAAACACCGGACCCAGGGGCGCTGCCCCCGGACCCCCAACTAGTCGTCGAACCGGCTTCTGACTCAATCTTATACATGCGTGCACTTCGCACAACCCCCGTACATGTATTAGAGTACAAACCATGAAGCCCCTTAGCTCACATGTTAGTTCTAGTTACTTAAAATGACATGCTGGCACTAAAATCACCAACAATGCTCCCCTATTTTAGTGTAACCCTTGAACAAACATAACCTTATCAACAACAAACCAAACTAGTACATAATGAAAATATCGTAACGATTGAATTTCCACTTAGTATCATATAATTGCAAATACTTGAGAATCAGGGTGTTCTAAGAATTGAACCCGTCAACCCATTTGATTACCAGAAAGTAAAATACATACTACTTTATTGAATTTCTAGCATAATACAACTTGACAGTATTATAAAGTCGTGTGTCCCAATCCTCTCATGATCGTATCAAGGTCAAGTCCACAACCTCTTGAAATGCGGCTACACTTCACAATCACGTAGGTAGCTCCTTTCCATGTATCTGCACATACATTTATCAATGGAATTATTAAGAAGTTAAACTTCAACCTGGCTAACTTGCAAAACCAAACACATACTTGGGATGAATACTTCATGTGTTCCAATCTATAAGTATGAACTTTCCACATTGAATTCAACTCCTAACATTATATTAGGAGGGAATTGGGTGTCTCATCATTATAGAATTAAATGGACTTTAATCCCATCCCGATCACAGACTTTTGCATTAAGTCTCTTGTCAGAACTTTAGTCAAGTGATCTGCCAAATTATGTTGCGATTTCACAAACTCAACCAAAATCACACCATTCATGATTAGTTCTCTAATCATACTATGTCTAACACCTAGGTGTCTAGACTTGCCATTATAAACCTGGCTATATGCCTTAGCCAAAGCGGTAGCACTATCACAAAGGATAGAAATAGGTGCTATCGGTTTAGACCACAAAGGAATCTCATAGACTAAGTTCCTTAGCCACTCTACATCTTTACCAGCAGCTACTAACGCAAGAAACTCAGATGCCATTGTCGAGTTTGTAAGGAAAGATTGCTTCTTGGAAGCCCAAGAAATGGCACCTCCCCCAAGCAAGAATACCCAACCAGAAGTTAAGGAATGGTCTTCCATGTTGGTAATCCAACTTACATATGAATGACCTTCTAAAACCGAAGGACTCCCCAAGTAACTCAAACCATACTTCATGGTTCCCTTGAGATACTTAAACACTCTATTCACTGCTTGCCAATGTTGAGCACTAGGATTGCTAGTGTACCTGCTCAACTTACCCACAACAAACACAATATCAGGTCTGGTACTTGTCATGGCATACATCAAGCTATCAATAGCCTTAGAATATTCCAAACGTGAAATAAGAATACCATTATTTGGCATTAATTTCATACTTGGGTCCATAGGAGTACTCACAGGAGAACAATCGGTAAAATTAAACCGCTTGAGAATTTTCTCAATATAATGACTTTGAGTCATTACTAATCCTTTGTTCATCCTCTTAATTCTTATTCCAAGAATTACATCAGCCTCTCCTAACTCTTTCATGGAAAACTTGGATGACAATAATTTCTTTGTTTCATCCACTTGATTTTGGTCGGTGCCAAAAACCAACATGGTTTTTAGGTCCTCCCAGCTTATAGTATTAGCCTTGCTAAAGTTAGTGACTTAACATGGCCATTCCACCATGTTAGGGACCTATCTAAGAAGGTAAAGGCAGTACATTTAACTTTACTACCCTCTGGATAGGAGCAAATTTCAAAGACCACTTCTATGTTCTTAATCCACTGCCTTAAAACCATCACTCATCCAGTTCCATTAAAGGTCCTAGGTTTGGCATTCGAGAAGTCTTTATAAGTGCACTCTCTCGAGTGCTCATGGCCCTCGAAAAAGTTAGAAGGACGTGGATCAGCTCCCGACC